GAGCAAATAAAAATAAGTACAATTAAATGTTTGGTTGTTTTGCTTCTCGTGTTTCGCTTTGTTTTGATGACAAATGTTTGCTTCTTGCCAGATATTATGCAATTGCAATTGTGTATCTATGAGATACAATTTTGTAATCGTCGCGCTGTTGTTGGTATTAGCATAACGATGATAACAGCAGGAAAAACCACAACAAAAAGTAGAAAACGTGTTTTCATTACGCCGCGTGTTTGTTGTCTTTTCGCCTTGCATTCGTGTTTATCACCCGCCCTGCTTTGCTCTCTGTCTTCGTGTCCCTCATTCTACGCACATTTGTTTACCAACAAGCAATCGCATACATGCAAACATATATGGGCATGTTTTTCCATCATTTTTTAAGACGCAATTTGGACACAACGAAATGAAGGGGAAACCAAAATACTAGTAACAACAAAAAACGTGCACTTAATTTGGGGATTCCTCAACAGCAATATCTCATCAGTTTTTACAGTGGATATTCGCTTTCTGTCGCAAATCAGTTATAGATTGATTATCAGTATCATTCCTCACATCATATCTTATTTTTCAAGATTATATTGGTAATCCTTATCTTGAATTTATTTGCCCTTATAAGCAAAGTATCTACACCTCAGTTCCCAGAACCCATTAAAAAAGGCCTGCACCTTTTTAGTTTCTGTAACATGCGCATTCATTTCTCAATAGATTCATTTTTTTTAAAGCCCTTTTCTTATTTGCATTTCCCTAGGTTTTTATTATTATATGAATTACTTGCTGTCAAACTCATTTAAAGTTATCTCCAATTTTAATTTTAAGGTTGCTTATGGATCTATTTTACTATATTTCTATTTCAACACATTACGGTGAACCATTTCAAACAAATAATTTGAATACAAGGAAATTGGAATGTTTACCCTTTCTGTAAATATAATCCATGTAAAATATGCATATTAAGAGGTCATTAAAATATGCTTATATAGTCTCCTAATTAATCGTCCTATCCCAATCTAAAATACCTTCTTGAAGCACAAACAAAATCGATATTCCCGATTAACAAAAGTTTGTCCTATCCCATTCACCCTTTAAGGATTTATGAATAATCAATAAAACGTAGTGTAATCACTCACCTTCCAGGCGTTGACCTTCGGAGGTGGTGCGGCAATGAATCGCTTGGGTGGCGGAGCCGCTCCTGCTGCCCCCTTCTCGCCCGCCTGCTGATCCCCGTCCCCGGACTTGGCCTCGTTGCCGCTGCTTCCTGCGCCTTCGATGCTGGCACTCGGTGAGGTGTCTTTGCGGTCCTTGTGTACTTTCGGTCCTCCTGGGACAGCAGGAGCAGCTGCTCCAGCATTGGATCCTGCGGCGCCAGCGGATCCCGGTGCAGATTTCCTGGGACTGCCGCCACGTGGAGCACGGGGCCTCACTGACTGCTTGCGGTCCGAATCGGAGGATCCGGCGACACGTCGGCCACCAGCCTGCTGGGATTTCTGACCATCGCCACGTCCTCCGGTCTGCGGTTGATCGCGCGGCTTCTCCTTGCGCGCCTTTTTGCGATCGCGGCGGTGGTGGGATAGTACCGGCACAAAGTCATTGTTGTCGTCCAGTTCCGAAGAGTTCTCGGCGGTGTTATCTCCGCCCGAGGCGGCGGCACGTTTCTCCCCAGTTTGGGCCAGGCTAACGCTGCTGGCAAGTGGGGATTCCCCGGCGGCTGCCTCGGCTGCGGCGGTCTCCTCGCTCCACGACTTCAAGCTCTTCAAATTGGGCTGGTTCTCTTTATTGTCCACGGTGGCGGTGCTGGCACCCTTCTTGGTCTCCAGGTTCTGCACCACATTGGCGTACGACGTGGTGGCGCTGCCCGAAGTGGCGACGACGGCCACGGGAGCGGCTCCTCCCGCGGACGATGGCGTCTCCTCCTTGCTGGACATGCTCCTCAGTTGTGGCTGCTACTCCTGCGGTTGCTGGACTGCGGTTTCTGCTCTCCAGAGTGGGCAGCAGATCTCCTGCTGCTCCTGCTCCGGCTTCGTCAGCGGCTGATCCTCGTTGTCGGGTCGGGGAAACTCTTGGCTGCTTCCTTGCCTGCTCAACGGGATGCGGGTGCTCGAGAGATCGGCTTCCAAGCTGCAAAGGTCGCCAACAGTGAAATCGGGTTAGTTATGCGTCACAGTCGAACTTTATTTACTCTAATCAGCATACAGTACACGGGTAGGTTTCTAAAGTTTTAGTTATGCAGATTCTCCTAGCCATAGTATATAAGAATATAGCCCTAGTAAGCATTTTCTTTGATATAAAAGTAAGTCAAAAACCCCACTAAGGGCGAATAAATGCATGTGAATGATAATACTGATAAGTATCTAATTTTGAAATAAAACATTTTTAAATAGTTTTCTATGTTTTTATAGTTTACGTAATCTAGTTATTAAAAAAATATATAAATTTAAAAAATGAAATAACACTCAGAGACATTTGTCATTGATAAAGAATAGCGATGATTATGTAGGCAGCAACTATTTTCTAGAAGCTATGTAAATAGTTAAAACTGTAGTGGCAATAGGAGCTTTTCTAATTTAATTTTAAGTAAGAAATTATAGAACTGCAGCCATTCCATTTAAGGATAGATTGACTTTATATGTAATACATATATATATAATATATCTATGCAAATGCGAGTGAGGACAACTGCTTGACTGTATTTAACAGCAAAAATTAAATAAAAAGTTTACAGAAAGTAAATTGTTGGAAGTTATGAAACTTTTAAGAACTCAAAATTTCCCTCATAGGCTGGTTTGACTGTATTTAGTTCGGTTTTTTCTATGCAATTGTGAGTTTAGAGAAGTAAAGGTGTTTCTTGCTCAATTAAAGCGATAAATATCAAGTTTGCTTGGCTTGCAACATTATTTATTTACTTAATGCAACTATTACAACACACGCACACATACACTGCACTTTGAACTTGTGTATTTCGTTATACGGGGATTATTTTTCTGGGACTGCGGAAGAGCCTCCCGAGGAGTGCGGCGATTTTTTAAGAACTGGCCATCGGAAAAAGCCTCTCCCCTTTTCCACGATTTTCGGCTCAACGAATTGGATTTACGGACACCGATTTGCACGATTATACTATATGGAAGCGGAGAAAATCCTCGCTAGCACGACCAATCGAGAATTGAGAGGTATTATATTATTATGCAGCAGCCACACAGCAGTACTCAAAAAGAAGAAGAAGAAGTGAGGTTAGATTTTTGCCCCACACAAGAGGAAGAGGAAGAGCGAAACGAATAAGAAGAAGAGGCAATACAACGCTAAGCGACCAGGGCTGCAAGAACAGAGCTGTCCACTTGCCAAGCTAGGCCTTACGTGGTCGTCTTACGTTTGTACGTTGAGAGATTTATGACAGGAAATTAAAGAGAGTGGGCCAGATATAATAAACAACAATTAAAGCGTAACCAATGTTGTTATAATATTGTTCTGTAAACAACAAATATTTAGTTTTTCCTTAGCCAAAGATTATGCAATAACAAATGCACTCGCTTAACGGCTGCATTGTTGTCGTTCCCGCCCTGGTTCGGTTTTAAAAAACAGCTGATTTGCGCCTGCAACTCGCCTTCAATTTCAACAAAAAGATGCACGCGGTCACACACACTAGTAGAGTTTACGTTTAAATACGCACCAGAAAATGATATGAAATCCAGAATTTACACACAAAATCCGTTCACTACGCACTTTCCGCTCCTCGCGTGTATGTGTGTGTGCGCGTACGTGTGTTGTTATTGTTGCTTTGCTTTTGCTTTTGCGGGATTCCTCGCACACACACTTTCGCACTCTCGTTGCTTCTCGCTCGCACTCACTCACGCGCTGGTGGGCAGAACGTTACGAATATTATTTATCGCGATTTTTATGCGATTGCACACACACTTGACTTGTTGTTGGTAGCACTGATCTTACGCCGTTTACTGAAGTTGTCAATTAACCGAATTTAATCAATTAATTGGAGCATTATACCGCCGAAAAGAAAATCAAAATCTCGGTTACCAGACATGTGGTTCTACGGGTCCAAAAGAAAAAGAGCAGGGTTGTTGTTCCATTCCTTCGCGTTGCGTTGCGATATATATCGGCTGCAGGGATGGATACGTTTTTTTTAGGGATGGATAAGAAATAGTTGAACGTTTTTTATATTGGTTGCCTTTTCAAAAACTGTATTAAAGAATTTTTGAGAGCAATCATTGCATATTTGCTTTACTTCATTTACCCGCTCGAAATTTAATAGAAAATTTAAATTTATTTCTTGCAAAATATCGATAAAGCCCCACCAATATATTGGGTCTTTAAATTTTTTTCAAGAGATCTATCTATTTAAGATACTCAAAAGTTAAGAAACAATTGCTATAAGAAAGGATGCTGATGATTTGTTTAGTTTAAGTATCTATGTAAAACGTGTTCGACGTAACGTAAGCCGAAATTGGTTACGTATTACAGAAAGAACACAACGTGGCTGAGCTTGTTTTAAAAATAACTGATATTTAATTTAAATTCTTTCAGCGTGCACTTATGAACTTATCATGAACATAACATAAACAACTAGTATTTACTGTATAAATTTGTAACGATTTATATTTTCAAAAATAAATCTATTATTATTATGGTCCAATTGTTATATTTTTTAAATATCAAATATTGTTCATTTTTTTGTTTTACAAATGACATGCATACAAAAAAGTTTTGAACGATAAGTATTAAAAGTAACCAGAATAGAAAATGGTGAAGCCAAAAAAATTATTGGTAAACGTTTTTTAAATCAAAATCCTTTTATTTTTATATTGTTGGAAATTAGATTTCCTTATTTGAAAAACAACTAATCTGAACTTTGATAAGCTTTAACTTATAATGACTAAAACCGATCCGAGTGGGTTTATAAATAGATTCCGCTTGAAAAATGCTGAAAAGTGCGACGCTCAATCTGAAATGAAGCAAATTAATCCCTGAACTTAATTTTATTTTATATTAAAAAAACATTTTTAAAGAAATATGGAAATATTTATATTTCAATTGCACATTCACAAAAAGTAATAGTTTCACAACACAAAATAGGGGTCAGTGGGGCTACAACATGCATGTGGCTAATAGATCCGGCTTTAGCCGTTTGGGGCACATGGGGTTAAATGGTGTAAGATCGGTTTTCAATCCGCGAGAATACCAAAAGATTTCAACTTAAGTCCTAGGGTGTATTTTGCTTTTCTTAGGCAGATACTAAAATGGAATTCTTGATGCGGTCCATGCCAAATGCTGGTGGTGCCTACTCCACGGTCACCGACTTGGCCAGATTCCTGGGGCAGTCCACGTCGCATCCTCGCAAAACGGCGATGTGGTAGGACAGCAGCTGGAGCGGGATAACCGTGAGCACGCCCTGCAGGCAGTCCACGGTCCTGGGAATCTGCAGCGATCGGGTGGAGAAGGCCATCGTCTCGGAGTCGCCCTCCTGGCAAATCAGGATGGGTCTGCCCTTGCGAGAGGTAACCTGCTGCAGGGCGTTCATGCACTTCGTGTAGACGGGATCCCGCAGGACGATCATCAGCACGGGCATCTCCTTGTCCACGAGGGCCAGGGGTCCGTGTTTCAGTTCTCCGGCAAGGATTCCCTCGCTGTGCATGTACGTCAGCTCCTTGACTTTCTGCAAGGCGGAAGATTTGGAATTAGATTGAATATTTAGTGGTCACAGGGAAAATATTTATCAGGAAATTAAGTTTGAATAACAATTTAATTAATACAATTGCTGGCAGCCAAGAGATCCGCATTATTTCAATTTAGCACTAAACATAATGTTAAATTAAAGTGCACACGGCAAATGTAGCAATAAAACTGCAATAAACAAGTTAATTGAATTGTTGACATCGGGGTTTTTTAAATTGCCTTTATGATAAAGATCTCATCAAATTATGTAGAGATTAAGGTATATTAAGATAAATAAAACACTTGTCAAAAGTGAGTTATGGAATTAACTGATAAAAACGGTACGGAAAAAGGTGCATTGTTAGTGGGTGTGGAATATTTTTGATACCCAACTAATTGTTTACAAACATTTAAGAAATCAATAAAAAAAATTCTTTTCTTTTTCTTTTATCCTTAAAAACTAGAATATCTTACCAGTGCTCCCTCCAAACAGGTGGCGAAGTTGAAGCCCCTGCCCATGATGAGCAGCGACTTGTGCTGGTACAGCTCCTTGGCAAGCTCCTGCACCTGTGAGTTCAGCTTCAAGACAGTTCGGATGTGCTCGTCCAGCTGGGACAGGCCATCGATGATCTCCAGCCGCCGCTGCTGCAGGGACAGACGGTCCTCCGACATGACCAAGGCGAACATAACCAGCGAGATGAACTGCGAGGTGTAGGCCTTGGTGGAGGCCACTCCGATCTCGGGACCGGCGTTGATGTGCACTCCACAGTGCGACTCCCGGCAGATGCTGCTGCCCACTGTGTTCGTGACGCCCACGATGAGGGCTCCTCTCTGCTTGCAATACCGCAGGGCCATCAGGGTATCCGCCGTCTCTCCCGATTGGGAGATGAAGAAGCACACGTCATCCCGAAAGATGGGTGTGTTCCTGTCCAGGAAGTCGGAGGCTAGTTCCACCATCACAGGCAGTTCGGTGAGTTCCTCCAGCAGCTGCCGGGTGGCCACTGCACTGTGGTAGGATGTGCCACACGCTATCAGCATCAAACGCCGGCAACGCTTGATCTCCGGTATGTACTCCTTGATTCCTCCCAGCACCACGCTCTGCGTATCGAACCTCATCCTTCCGCGCATGGTATTCACCACTGATTCCGGCTGCTCGAAGATCTCCTTGAGCATGAAGTAGTCGTAGTTGCCCTTCATGATCTGCTGGATCTCCATCTTGAGGGTGATGATCTCCCTGGCGTGCGGATCGTCAGAGGACTTGTTCAGGCGGTGAATGCTGAGCGTGCCATCGCTCTTCACGGCGGCCACATCATCATCTTCCAGGTAAATCACCCTGTTCGTGTGCTCTATGACGGCTGAGGCATCGGAGGCGAAGAAGTACTCCACTTCCTTGCGCTCCAGAGGCTGGAATTCCGCACTGCAATCGCCGGGGGGCAGGACTGGGAAGGCCTGCTGCTGCGGCTGACCATGTGGCCGGTGTGCCTTGGCGTACAGGATGGGTATGTGATCCGTGGCCAGCTTGGTTTTGGCTTTGATGCCCACCAGGAGCGGGGATCCCCTACGCGAGGCCACACACTCCCCTGGGAAATGCTTCGATTTGAAGGCGATGGCGAAGGCGCCCTCCAGTTGCTGGATAGCCTGCTCCACAAGTTCCCCGAAAGTATAGCCAGGATGCTGTTGCCACAGGTGGTGAACTAGTTTAGCTATCACCTCCGTATCGGTGTCCGACTCAAAGACATAGCCCCTCTTCACCAGCAGGGTCTTCACATCCTTGTAGTTTGTGATGATGCCGTTGTGGACCACTACGAAGCTGTTCTGCTCATCGGATCGCTGGGGATGCGAGTTGACCACGGAGGGCACACCGTGGGTGGCCCATCGCGTGTGGGCTATGCCTATGTGGGTGTCTATGGGCAGGGAGTAGTCCTGACCCAGACAAACCTCGGCCACCGCATCTTCCAGGACCTTCACTTTGCCAGTTCTTTTTATCAGGAGTATGGCCTGTTCTTCCCCGGAGTTCAAGGCATCGATGGCAATACCCGTGGAGTCGTAGCCACGGTATTCCAATCTTTTGAGGCCCTGCAGCAGGAGATCCAAGACATCCTGTCGCGATTTGGGCGTCAAATAATTCAAGTATGCGAATATGCCACACATTCTGAAATTCTGAGAAATACTCTAGTTCTCTGGTGATTTTCCACGTCGCAAGTGAACTTTCCGGTCAGCTGAGGCTGATTTTTCGGTCTGTCGCGGCTGCAATGCGATTGTCGTGTTTTTATCGCCGACAGTTGCTGGAATTTTTTTGTTTTTCTCTGATAAAACAAATTATTTGCTTTTTGGGCAAAAGAACACGTCTTCGTCTTGCTCTCCCGCTCGCACTCACACATGCGCCGGATTGCGCGCTCACTTACACATACACAGGCAGCATGTAAACATTGGCTGTGGTGTGACCGTACACGAGCGAGGGCTGGAAAGCGTTCGAAGGGCTCAGGAAATTCAAATACTAAATGTCATTTTTGAATGTACTTTACTTTCTTGAAATAAAACTGACTCAAAAGTCTTTAAATGTATTAATTATTTATTTTTAAAATTAAAATTTACCTAAAAATAAAATATATATTTATGGTACATAATAGAGCTCAGTATATTTAACGATTTTCGAGTTAGTAGTATGTTTAGTATTTATGTTTAATCCTCGCACGGTCTCACTGAACCCTTTGCATTCGAAACGAGTTGGCAACGCCAACATTGTGCAACGCGAAAACGGGAATAAATCACGTATTTAATTGCATTTAGCGGCAAAAAGCGGTGAAAAAAATGACGGTAAACAAGCGCGACGCGAGCGCATCGCGGTCGCGATGCTTTTTCGACATTTCGCTGGGCGGCTTGGCCGTAGGCCGCATTGTTTTCGAACTTTACGGCGATGTGGCGCCGAAGACGGCTGAGAACTTCCGGGCATTGTGCACGGGCGAAAAGGGATTTGGCCTGACCACCGGCAAGAAGCTCCACTACAAGGGGGTGATCTTCCACCGCGTGGTCAAGGACTTCATGGTGCAGGCGGGCGACTTCTCCGCGGGCAACGGCACCGGCGGCGAGTCCATTTACGGCGGAACTTTCGAGGGTGAGTTTGCCGGAACGGGCCCTCATATTGTATGTACATATTCATATGTACCGTTGCTTGTGGTTGGGAAAAAATCAATACAGTGGGAATCCGATAAGGTGAACACAGAAAAAGCATTTTATGCATGGTATGGGCACAATCGGAAAAGTATGACCGCACTAGATTTATTGCGTATAAATAATTATTTGTCGACCAGATCCGAGCTTTTTTTTTAGGAAATTCTTAAAGTTTTAGAGGTTTGGCTGTACTTATATGCATTGGTTGAGGTCGTCCTGAAAAAAAGCCAAACATTAATACATAATTCAGTGAAGAAAATCCTTCGGGTCTTCCTCTGATCTAACCGGTTCTTTAACTTTTAGCTTGTATCCAAGTGTCCACTGTTCATCCCCCTCTTTTTCAAGAATGGCTTGCCAATTAAAGTTATTTATTTAAATGCTACGCTCACAACAATCATACACTTAAATTTAACAAGGTTGGTTGAATGGAAACCTCAATCGAAAATGGGTTCTAATTTCTAATAGCCATTTAAATTATACAATTTTGATTGTAATTTGCATTGCATTAGGAATGGGTTCAAAAGGTAAGAATTCATCTACATAGAATTAGAATATAGGTAAGAATATAGGTAACCTCTACTTTTTTATGGAAATAACTTATTCATAACTAATTAACTAACGCAACTGACTCAATTTAAATCCTATTTCAGACGAATGCTTTGAGAAGAAGCACGATCGCCCGTTCCTGCTGTCGATGGCCAACCGGGGCAAGAACACCAACGGCTCGCAGTTCTTTATGTAAGTGCGCTCGTTCGAGAGCCGTAACCGGCAGAGTCCGGAATAACCCCGCCGTAAATTTAGTTTCAGTTCTGTTGCAGGCACCGATTATTCAGCTAAACTCTCTTCGCCTTCTAATTTATCTTTATATTTACCCGTCTGTTGTTGTTCATTAATCTATTGCCATTTAGCCGTAGCCCGTGGGTAGTAGAGCGTGCCTGCGTCCCACTGACCAGCGGCTGATGCACCACCACCACATCCACCAACCCAAATGCATTCGGTCTGTGGGCCCAGAAACCAAGGGAAAGACGGAGCCGGGCTGGCTTGGTTCTCACTCTCTCTGCTCCCGTGGTCTTTGGTCCTTGGTCTCTGTGTGTGTGTGTCTCTCTCTCTCCCGGCTCTTCCTGGATCTTTGCCGGGATCTGGATCTGGACCTCTAGTTGGTTCTGCTGGATCTTCCGTGTTGGCCATGGCCAACGGCAGCGGCTCTTGTGGTTGGTGGCTTGCCAAAATCCTGTGTGCCACCTACTTCACCTTGAAACCTTTTAAACTTTGTTGCACATGACATTGTCTCCACCAACCACCTCCACGACAACAACAACAAACGACAACAACTGAACCAACAACATCGATTTCAACTACAACTGCCTACTGCAGCCCAACAACCAGTTAGCCAAAGTGTAAAGAATATTTTTCTCTTCTTCTGTTTCTCATTGTAGTACAACACAGCCTGCGCCACATTTGGACAAGTAAGTACACTTAGAATAAACCAAGGGAAAGTACATATTGCTTGTAATCTTTTAACTAATAGTCATTATTTAATTACAAACAAAGTATCTTACTACTCTATCAAAACATGGGGTTTCTTCTTAAAGCTTTGAAATATAAATAAAAACATTTGTGTTAAATAATTGTAATGTTATGTACATTCCCTATTCTTTAATTCCTTATAGATCCAAATTATTAATTGTCATTTTTTCTTATCGCAGTATCCATGTTGTATTTGGGCAAGTTATATCCGGTCAGGAGTTGGTGCGACAATTGGAGGATCTGCCCATCGATCGGAACTCGCGGCCGTTGCAGGATGCGGCCATAGCCAACTGTGGGGAATTGGTTAGACAGGCAAAAGGTAAACATACTATATATTTCTTTTTTCCTGTTTTAATTAAATTTTTTATTGCTTAGCCAAAAAGGAGAAGAAGCGGAAGAGGCGCTCCACGGTCACGGATGATACAAACAGCGAGGACAGTGAGGCTGAGGTCAAGGCCGGGCGCAAGGACAAAAAGAAGAAGCGCAACCGCAAGGAGAGCAAGTCCAGCGACAGTGAAGAGTATGTCCCAATAGGAAATGATGTCCTAATTTATTTATAATTTTTTTTGATCTTATGTATAGCAATGATACAAGACGTGGCAATGGAAAGCATGACCAGAATCCGCCAGAGGATAATGACGAGGACCGCGAAGAGGGCGAGCTCCACCCACTTGTCACAATTACAAAGATAGATCCTAACGAGATACCAGAGGTGCGTCATTAACTCTTATTTATTACCTGGAATGCTTCATACCTTTTTAAACTTACAATATTAATGCACATTGCAAAGAATCACTGTTGCAGCTATTTCCATCTGTATTTCACTGGCATGACTTGAAAGGGCTTCCTTATCCTAACATGAACTGTTTAATTGTGTTTTTAATTTAACAAAATAATTACTTAGGGTTTATCCACATATTTAATAATTTTCTTATTCAGGTATCGAACAAATTTCTAATGCGCGGTGAGAGATCGAGGTCCCGAGATCGAGAGGATCGTGGTAGTCGAGGACAAGATCGCGATCGAGGCCGTGAACAGGATCGAGACCGAAATCGCAATAATTTTGGCTGGTCTAAGAAGCAGGCACCGCCGACATCGCGCAGCGGACGCATTGTCAAAGGTCGAGGCGTGTTCGTAAGTATAAGGCCCCTTGAAACATACTACAACACGACTAAAATTAAACCTTTTTCAGCGTTTTCGCACACCGTCGCGCAGTCGATCGCGGAGCAATACACCACCACATTGGAAGCATGCACAAAAGCGCACTATCAAACTTTCTGATCTGGAGCGCATGGAAGAGGAGAGCAAGATGCGCGAGGAGGAGGTAAAGCGCCGCGAGCATGAGCGAAAACGTCGCCACGAAGAGGCCACCAAGAATCCCAAGCAATCGTTTTTCGAGCTTTCGCATGCCAGCACTTACGGCGGCAAAGTGACGCCAGATAAATTCTCTCCAGAACATAAACCCAAGTCCAAGGAGACATCTGAACGCGGCAAGCCTAGGGATAAAGACAAGGAGAAGCCCAGCGAGAAGGAAAAGGCAAAGGATGTGACTCCCCAAAAACGCCGCAAATCGATGGACATGAATGCTTTGGACTACGAGCAGCAGACAGAGACCGAGGCCGAGTCCGAAGACGAGGAGCGAGAGCAGTTGAAGGTGAAACCACCCAGTAAGCTGGACATCAAAGCGGAGCCTTGGACCAGCAAGGATAGAAATACCAAGCGCGAAGATCGCAAGCTCGAGGAAAGAGCCAAGGCCAAACGCAGTCGCTCCCGAAGCCCTCGACGCCAATCGCCTCCTCGTCGTCAGCAGCGTTCACCGGCCCGACGTCCTGGCCAGAACCCCACGCAGAATCAGAATCAAAATCAGTTTAACCGCGGCAATCGCCGAAATCCGTTTGCGGACAGGGATCGTCGCCGTCGTTCGCGTTCACAGGATAATGAATACCGCAACCGCTTTCCTTTGTCCCCAGTCAGAGGAAGGGGCTCTCCTGGCGGAGATCGCCGGCGTCAGCAGCGTTCCCGTAGTCAGGGGCGTAGGCAGGAATCGCCCAATCACAAGCGTCAGGAGTCGTTGGGCCGAAGGCGCCAGGACTCGCAGGCTAGGAAGCGTCAGGACTCAACGGAAAGAAAGCGAGAGGACTCGCCGGTACGAAAGCGGCGGGATTCACCGGAAAGGAAGCGAGCGGATTCCAACGACAGAAAACGGGAGCCTTCTTCAAACAAAAAGCGTGAGGATTCGCCGCGAAGGAAGCGCAAAGATTCGGCCACAGTAAAGCGAGATGATTCGGTTGACAAAAAGACACAGGAATCTTCTAACAAAAAGCGAGAGGATTCTCCTGAAAGAAAGCGTGAGGATAGTCCGATCATTAAGCGAAAGGACTCCGACAGAAAGCGACAAGACTCTCCAGTGAAAAGACTAGAGTCGCCAACAAGGAAGCGTCAGGACTCGCAGGACAAAAAGCGAAACGATTCCCCTGTGAAAAAACAAGATTCACCGGGCAGGAAGCGTCCAGATGTCTCTGGTAAAAAGCGTCAGGATTCCACCGACAAAAAGCGGCTGGATTCTCCAGTCAAAAGACAAGACTCACCGGGCAGAAGGCGTAAGGATTCACCCGACAGAAAGCGCAGGGATTCACCTGACAGAAGGCGCAAAGATTCGCCTGCCAGAAGGCACCAGGACTCGTCCGGGAGAAGGCGACAGGAGTCGGCGGGCCGCAGGCGCCGTGACTCCTCCGGAAACAGACGCAGTCGCAGCCGCGGACGCCGGCACAGCTCGTCGCGTAGTCGCAGTCCATCAACTAGTCGCTCCCGCCGCCGCCGCTCGCGTAGTCCGCTGCCCAAGCTGACCTCCGCCCTGCCCATGGACGAGGATCGCGAGAAGGCGGCCCGCGAGAAGATGCAGAAGCGTGCGGAGGCCGCGCTGCTGATGAAGGAGCACATGCGCAAGGAGATCGCCAAGGCGGAGGAGCTGCGCCTGGAGAAGCAGCGCCAGGATGACCTCGAGGAGCGCCGCTTGGAGAAACAGCGCGAGGATGACCTGGAGAAGGAGCGCACCACCCGCGAGATCAACGAGCTCGAGCGCCTGAAGGCTGAGACCCTGAAGAAACTGCAGGACGAGTTAGGAGGGGGATCCGAGGCGGCCGCTGGAAGCGATGCCAAAACCGATGCCACCACCTCCCGCAGCAAACGCGAGTCCAGTGCTGAGGATCGCCATCGCGACAAGAAGCGCAAGCATAAAAAATCAAAGAAGGCGTCGACGCGCTCCGACTCCGACTAAAGTCAAACTAATCCTAGACAGTAGTTGAATACCTAACAGCGGCAAACCGAGTTTTTGTTCCACCAATTTCAGACATTTACACGAAATTGCAATGTAAAAATCGCGCTCCCCCCAACTTTTTGTAATTAAGACCGTTTAATAAAGGAAAACGTCACTGTAACTTCTACATTTTTACTTATTTATAATAGTGTCCCAGGTTCCGATTTAAAAAGCAATAAATCGTTGACTGGTGCTGGGACTGGATCTTTTATTATGTATTGACTGCAACATTATTTTGGTAAAAGCTAGGAACTACAAAAAAGTCACTGACGAAAATACAACTTTTGTTTTAAAATGCTGTTCGTCAAAGCTTACATTATTTGTTTAACATTTTATTTTATTAAAATAAGTTTATCAAGAGTGAATTGGATATACTGGGATTATATTGCTTTTATTTTGGTAACAAACAATACTCAAATTGTATCCTCAAGTTTCTTTTTTATTTTTGCTTTTTTGTGTCATACCAGTAAAATATTATTTTGTCTTATAGATGAATATATATTTTGTACATACTTTAATTTATAAATTCTTTTGCATCAAGTATTTTTGTTCTTTATTATATTATATCAAATATACAAGCAATTGACATTTTTCAGTATAAAATTCGGGTTATAAGGATCTAAATTTAGGTTTATTCAAAAAATAAACAACTTTTTAAGAAAGAAGCGGTTGAGCTGCAATAAAGAATTTAATTTTAAAAGCAACACTTAAATCTATATAAATTCTTAATCTATAAAAATAAATTTTATTCAATAAATTATTTCTTTATCCCCAAGCCCTGGAATTTGCGAGTCTCCGAAAAACATACAAAAGTCAAGGTGGTGAAATGGGATGGCCACTTATCAGAGACTTTAACCGTTTTATCAATGTTACATATAATCTGCTGGGCAGCACTTTAAATGTAGGATACTAGATGGCGCCACGTCTAAAAGAGTTAAATTCAATAGTTCTGTATGGGGTTTATAAACAATTTCTTTGCGAATTATTTTATTGCTTACCTTGGAAAATAAATGTTACTGATAACAACTAAAGCAAAGCAAATCAAACTGAAAAGAAGTGTAATTTTGTAAGCAAATTAATTAAAACAACGAACTCATACATATTTTTTATTTCCCAAAGGATTTGTTGGAGTGGAAGGTATTAACAGAGTTTTCCCAGTTGTTTGAACACACTAATTGCCGAGTGAACTAGTACCACGCCTTACGACCTTTGACCAAATGGCCCTCTGTTTGCCCAATATTCTTATATTTTATATGCATTTCTTTAAGGCCTAAGACGACCCTTTGGTTCCGAGAGACAAACAATGGCGAGAAGAAAAATAATAAAACTGCAAGGGCAACTTTCGGGCTGTTGTGGCTGTCGTCGCAGGTTGTAGGTTTTTCTTGTTGTTGGTTGTCGGCTGTAGGTTGCAAGTTGCCGGTGTGGTTGGTGTTGCTCTTGGGTGGTGGTTGTTGCCTGGTTGCTGGTTGCAAGTGCCACTGACAAACACAGCTGTCGAGTGCCGTGCTTAAATGGCAAGTAAACTGCAGCCGAGCGTTTGCTTTGCTAATTTCCCAGGCCTTTCCCGCCTCCGAAGGCGCTCCTCTCCAATTGTGTGGGGGTGTGGAGTGGGCGGCAACGTGGGCGTGGCTGTGCACTTGCTGCTTATTATTTGCACTCGGCAAGGCCAACAGCATAATAAATTGGGGCGACAGGAGGAGGCGTTTGGTGTCGGACCGAATCGGAAAATCTTTTATTCATGAATGCCGCCCCCTGCCACCAACTGCGTCCATAAAAATTGCACAATTTGAAGCGCTTTTCACCCTCCCCCAACCCCCAACCCCCTCTCCCCACGAGCCGCTTAGTCTGAGACGTATGTCCAAAAAAATAAAAAAAAAAAAACGAGGCGAGCAAGAAAAGAATTTACGCGCCTTGGGCGGCTCTCTCAAGGATTTCGGCAATGGCTCTCTTGGAGTCCTGCCTCCTGCAACCTCCCCCTCAAACCACCAAAAAAGCAAAAAAATGCCACCCACTTTTGGCTGCAGGCGATAGTTGCATAAATCATAAAAGCCGCACTTGTTGTTGTCCTTGCCGCGCACTCCCCCCCCCACTCCCTCACCTCCATCTCCTCAACCTGCCCTCGCATCCTTAGCAGGACTTTACGACACTTAAGCAGCGCAAGTGGGCGGTGAGAGTGTCTCCAAATGTCTGAATTTGATTGCACGGCCACAACAGCGGCTTGAGAAGTGCCACTCCCCCTCCCGACCATCCCGCCCATCTGCCCACACATTTCTCCACTGCCAAAGGGTTCAGCTCCCATCGCGAAAAACTTCGCGCATTTATTTATGAAGGTCTAAAGGTCTCCTAAAATCCTCCTCCGCCCACCGATTTTGGTCTTCAAATTCTGTTACTCGAATATTTGCGAGTAAGAGCAGCGATAAGTGGGTAAAATGTTCTGGTGAAGTGGATATAAATAGCAACAGGTTTGTTTCGGAAAACAAAGCCAGTGGATTATTTTCCAATATCAAGTTAGAAACTTGGCTTTTAGTGGATTGAATTTAATATAGATACAATCCACTTTGGATCATAACCTTATCAGTCGGGGAATGTTTACAATCTTGCAGTTCAAAAGCCAATCAAAATATATTATATATTTTTTATATTTTTTTTAGCTTTGATATATATTTCATAAAAAATCCAAAAATTTCAAGTCAACCTAGAATTTATAGTTTAGATCCACAGCACCACAAAAAAAAGACCTTATACAAAGATTGCAGTCATAAAGGTGAATAAATATATTTATCTACTTACATTGTATTATATTTACATTACTAAAAGATCTGTTAAAGTGTTATAACTTTATTGTTAATAAACATATTTTAAAATTAGCAATATCCTTAGACACCGTTTAATGGGATGCAAGGGCTTGATTGGCTGGATCACAAAATCGCGGCCACCTGCAACCATCGACAACTTGCCCCAAACATACCTCACTCCGGCGTTTTCAGGGGGTCAGGGGTCAGGCGGGCCACGCACTTAATTTATGACTCGCCGTGCAATAATTCAAAGTCATAGGCCTCCAGAGACCATTCAGGGAACACTCGACCACTCATTCGCTCAAGGGGCTTTTGGAGGGGGCTTCTGCGGAATGGAGAGCGGCTCTGGCGCCAACACCTCACTGCGGAGGCTAAGGAATTTTTAATTAAAATATTAAAGCATTGGCTGGAAGGTGTTTTTAATCTTGAGAATTGTTTTAATTGTTATTTAGGATTTGTTGTTGATGGCCGTGGTGGCTGTTGTTCTTCTTGTCGCTGCTGGTGTTGTTTGTGGTACAATTTATGTGCGCCTAATTAGAACAGACACTGCGGCGGTGTCAGGGGTTCTGGCTTCGCTGTTTTTTTTGCTCCCCACCCAGTTTTTTACAACGCCGCTTCATAATTACCATATTTTCAAATTACCATTGGCCAAGTGCGTCCGGGGCCATGGCCATGGCCGCCATTTGCCTCGGGCCCGCGGCCATAAAAGCTAATTGTATGCGTGCGTGGCTCAAACGGACGGGGGAAAGGTAAGTCCTTGGCATGTTGTTGCTCGGTGATTTATATTTAATTGTTGTCATTATGGTCATCAAAACCGTGTGAAGCCCTGCGAGAATCCGCATGGGTGGGCATAGTGTCCTGGGAGATGATGGAGTGCCCCAGCTGCTGTTGCTGCTGCTGCCGGGAATTCTTCTAGTGTTTCCTGGGTCAACACGCTGACAGATGTCTAATTGCTGGCCAAGTTTTCTCTGGTGATAAGAACGTTAAGAGTTTTCCCCAGACTTTTCTCTTGCGGTTTTCCAAAGAGTAGTGGTCCGGGAAATTATGGAAATGAAACGGAATCATCCCGGCGCATGCCCTATTTCCATTTCATTCCCAAACGCCTCGAGTTATCCATCGTTTTTGGGGCTTCGTTTCAGTCGTGGCCCGTTGATGGCTCCATTTGGTTGGCCGGCTGAGAATGAGGGGGATTATGGCAGCCACAGCGTAAATGAAATCGAGTTTGAGCCGAATATTCGATATGGATATTCATTAAATTAAATTCAATTAAATTCGGCTTTGATTGGGTCTTGGCCGAATTATTCTCACACGAAGCTGTCACTGGAGTGACACAAACATAATTGAATAGTTGTGGATTTGATTATGCAATTGTGCCTCAAGTGGGCATACGGAAAGTCAATTTGCCGCTGGCCGTTGGTTCATCAGCATTCGGCCGCTGGCAGAGCAATAAATATTTTTAATTATTCATAAAATAAAGCGAACACTTATTTGCCTGATTAATACAATTTTCCATGTCCGATGCGAAGCGCCTGGCTCTTTTGCTTTGCATTGACACAAATTAAATTAAACTCTTTTTTATCAAGCTTTTTTCGTCGGCATCTGGATGCGAAAATGTTGAAACCATCAGCATGAACAGCACGAGCTATATTCATTAGTTGCATTAATTCAATATGAAACTCCTTTCTCATTTGTTTTGATGTCCCTGCTGCATTCCACCTCAATCAACCAGTAAGCGATTGTATTTTAAATTGATTATTAATTTAAATGCATTTTATACCTTTTCACGCGTATGCTTACTCTATCAAAGGATCTACAAATGCATTGCGCAATTTCGACAGAGGGGTTTAGTCATAATTTAAAATGAAAGAAAATATGATTTACAATTCAATATGGTTAAAAACGTTTTTTTTACTTAAATAAATCGTTATTTATTAAACTAAATCATTTTTTAAATGCCTCACAAATTTTTTACTCTGTTATTAAACACATTTAAATAAAATATTAGAAAGTTATTATTTTAAAATGGTTTTCATAGATTTTAAAAATGGTTTATACTTATAATTGAAAAATCATATTAAGAATTTACTTTACAAATACGTTTTCCTTCGTTTTCCTACTTCGAAGAGTATTCCATCTAAAGACTTGATTTCTTTTTTAAAACACAATTTTTAATTGACTTACAGCATAGTTGTGGCCGTAGTTGTTACAATTATTTACAAGCGTTTGTTATTAATGAAACATGACAATCGGTGAAATGACTGGCGTTAATGTAATTTCCGTATTTCAACAGTTGCATCAGCTTTCGCAAATTAGCCCAGCAAAAAGAGTAGTAAACAAGAAGAATGAAAAAATAAACCATTTACAATCGGGTTTGAGGCAATGGCCTGTTTTCCCACGAAAATGGGTTTTCGGCGGAGGGAGAAAAACAAATTACTTGAGGTTTGTGTTTGTTTTGCAAAAATATTTTCCCATTTGCGTCGTTTCGGGGCCTAGACAAAAGCGCCTCGAGATCGAAATAGGGCTTCGTCATTTGCAAATTCGACAGTTTCCTTCGAGCGTATCAAATCATGGCATAAACAGAAAAACACAACCGCACTCGCAGGTAGTGAAAGTCGAGGGCCTCTCGAAATTGACGGCAGTCAGGCCCACGTAAGTATCTAAATTGGTGCCCCATCCCCCCCCAATCACATCCAACCAGAAATATTCCAATAAATATGAGACTTGAAATAAAATATCTCTCATTAAATGATGACAGGAGCAAATATGAAAACATGCTCCAGGCGAAAAATCATCCACCAGCGCACGGATACAATTACCAGCCGCGATGCGAAGATACTCGGGGAAAAGGACCTGGCTGGGGCATTAATTACAACTGTCTAAGTACGATTCTGGATGCCCGAGAACCCAACAAAGCAGGAATGATATACAGAACGGGATCGAGGAGGAGGAGGCCCAGCAAAGTACTTGAGCTAAACAAATATTTAAGTTGATTGGGCGGGTGCGGCGGTGCGAGCGCAAATGCAAAAAGTTTCCACTCAAGGAGTTCACCAAATTCGCATAAATTCAATGCGTGCCAGGGCAGCCGTGAACTTTTTAATGTATTTTAAAACACTTTCCACTAAACATTTTAAGCAAACTGCTTGCCAAGGCTTTCGTTTTAGTCTCAGTCTCAGTCGCAGTCGCAGTCGTAGTCGCAGTAGTCCCCCTGCCAAGTTGACTTCCTGCGAGAGCGGCAAAGTTTTCGCTCCTCCGGAGTTGCAGGCAAAATCCCACGGAGGCTGAAATCAAGTATTTCATTTTGGATTCAACTGCTGTCCGGGCAGTGCAACAACTAAATGGGAAAGTATTTCAACTGGGGCGGCTACAAGCAGGTTGCGGGATACTCTTTTGTGACGGGAAACCCTTTCATTCATTTTTTTTACCTCAAAACAAATGAACTGATAAGTGCCTCAAACTGAACAATAGTTATCAAGTGACTTCGACTCAAGTATTATAATTCTTTGGAGTTCTTAAGTCGAATATTTCACGCCTCCTTAAAAGGAAATTCGAGTTTCGTCGAGAGGCAACACCATGGCAACGCAGTAGTGGAGCAGCATCAACGTGGTAATAACAATGCCGGGAATAAGAAAAAGTTCTTCAACACTTTTCGGCCACCACCCCCAAGGTTTCCCTTCTGTCAGCTGCCAGCTGAGTTTCGAGCAAGTTTTCCTTGCTGAAAATATATAAACTCCATTTCGTGGGCTTGGTCAGTGTGTCAATGTTTGTTTTATGTGCCTAGGCCAAAGTTGTTCTTTCCCCAGGGAAAAGTCGCCTTCTCCGTTCAGTGTTTCCAATCTGCAGGTGGAAATTTTTAATTAATTACTTAGCTGGCCTCGAAACTGTGTCGCTTAATAATTGAGTAAATAGAATCAGAGGTTTACCTCTCTGGCATTCACACATCAAATTAATAATGCTGTCGCTGCAAAGTCTGTGGCATTTGTCGTCAACTCAATTTCTGTGTACTTTATGACTGCACTTAGACACCGGACTTAAGCTGCCAGTTATTGCCGAGCATGTAATTGCATTAATTTATTTCGGGTTCTAAATTATCCGACCAAACGATGGCCAAACTTTGCCAGCCAGCTGGCTGTGATCTCTGACCACGACAACAACACCGATACGATTGCCCGGTAAAAGTCTCGGGCTTAACAGTAATTAAAACCCTGAAATGTTAGACGAATCCGAAGGCAGCATACAATTTTCAAATGGAGAACTAGAGCACTGGAGAAGTGGTAAAGAGTGGAACTCAAGGAGCGAGGCAAGCAAAAGTTTTCACATTAGAAATGCAGCTAGGATTTGTTTTAGTTTTTGCTTAGCAATGCTGCCAAATATTTGCAGTGGCTCAGAGATTTGTTTGCGGCACCACAGGCCGAGCTGCTTGACGGCTGCAATTGGAATTTGCTTTTAATTGTTTTTAATTAAGTATAATTTATTGTGCAAACATCACAAGGGCCTGCATCTGCAGAATCAAAATTCCCCACAGAGAAAGACACTTTGCCACAACCGCCACTTCATTCCCAGGGAAAAAGGTGATAGGTCGGCCACTCGAATTTAAATAATAAATCCCATGGCCGGCTACTCGCTTTAATGGGTTATTGATTTTGCTTACCCGGTAATGAGCACGAATTTCCAGCGAGCCGTCCTCCTCAGACTTCCTATTAAGGGATTCATTAACTTCTGCACTTCTCACCCGGTTCGACATGCTGACGGACAAGTTTCTCCGGCTGCAGTCAATTTTCTTTCGCCTGCTGGGACTGGAATTGTTGCAGGACCAGGACGTGAGTCATCGATATCCCCGGCGAACCATCTGCTGCATCCTCTCGGTGGCCACCTTCCTGCCCCTGACCATCGCCTTTGGCATGCGGAACATCCAAAACGTGGAGCAGCTGACCGACTCGCTCTGCTCAGTCCTTGTCGACTTGCTGGCCCTCAGCAAGATCGGGTTTTTCCTTTGGCTGTACAAGGACTTTAGGTCCCTAATACAGCGGTTCCACATTGTCCTGCAGAGGGGTGAGTTCATAACGTTAACAAATTTAAATCTATTCCAAAGTGACATACCTTTAAAGACTTTGATTGTTTAAAAATCTGCATTCAAAATTTTCATTTTAGCGCTGATCAAATTTTTGACCCATTTTCATGTTAGTTATTTCCAAGTTTCCGATGACTTGTATTGAGGTCACCCCCAATTGGACCTCCAGAATCCATAACTTTACCAAATTTAATCCGATTTTAAAGTGGCATACCTCTTACGACTCGTGGATTGATTCTCTAAAAATCTGCATTCAAAATTTTCATTTTAACGTTGATCAAATTTTTGACCCATTTTCATGTTAATTATTTTCAAGTTTCCGATGACTTGCATTGAGGTCACCCCCAAGTGGACTTCCAGAGTCCATAACTTTACCAAATTTAATCCGATTTTAAAGTGGCATACCTCTTACGACTCGTGGATTGATTCTCTAAAAATCTGCATTCAAAATTTTCATTTTAGCGCTGATCAAATTTTTGACCCATTTTCATGTTAGTTATTTCCAAGTTTCCGATGACTTGTATTGAGGTCACCCCCAATTGGACTTCCAGAATCCATAACTTTACCAAATTTAATCAGATTTCAAAGTGGCATACCTCTTACGACTCGTGGATTGATTCTCTAAAAATCTGCATTCAAAATTTTCATTTTAGCGCTGATCAAATTTTTGACCCATTTTCATGTTAATTATTTTCAAGTTTCCGATGACTTGCATTGAGGTCACCCCCAAGTGGACTTCCAGAGTCCATAACTTTACCAAATTTAATCCGATTTTAAAGTGGCATACCTCTTACGACTCGTGGATTGATTTTCTAAAAATTTGCATTCAAAATTTTCATTTTAACGTTGATCAAATTTTTGACCCATTTTCATGTTAATTATTTTCAAGTTTCCGATGACTTGCATTGAGGTCACCCCCAAGTGGACTTCCAGAGTCCATAACTTTACCAAATTTAATCCGATTTTAAAGTGGCATACCTCTTACGACTCGTGGATTGATTTTCTAAAAATCTGCATTCAAAATTTTCATTTTAACGTTGATCAAATTTTTGACCCATTTTCATGTTAGTTATTTCCAAGTTTCCGATGACTTGTATTGAGGTCACCCCCAAGTGGACTTCCAGAGTCCATAACTTTACCAAATTTAATCCGATTTTAAAGTGGCATACCTCTTACGACTCGTGAATTGATTCTCTAAAAATCTGCATTCAAAATTTTATTTTTAACGTTTCAAATTTTTGACCCATTTTCATGTTAGTTATTTCCAAGTTTCCGATGACTTGCATTGAGGTCACCCCCAAGTGGACTTCCAGAGTCCATAACTTTACCAAATTTAATCCGATTTTAAAGTGGCATACCTCTTACGACTCGTGGATTGATTCTCTAAAAATCTGCATTCAAAATTTTATTTTTAACGTTGATCAAATTTTTGACCCATTTTCATGTTAGTTATTTCCAAGTTTCCGATGACTTGCATTGAGGTCACCCCCAAGTGGACTTCCAGAGTCCATAACTTTACCAAATTTAATCCGATTTCAACGTGGCATACCTCTTACGACTCGTGGATTGATTCTCTAAAAATCTGCATTCAAAATTTTCATTTTAACGTTGATCAAATTTTTGACCCATTTTCATGTTAGTTATTTCCAAGTTTCCGATGACTTGTATTGAGGTCACCCCCAAGTGGACTTCCAGAGTCCATAACTTTACCAAATTTAATCCGATTTTAAAGTGGCATACCTCTTACGACTCGTGAATTGATTCTCTAAAAATCTGCATTCAAAATTTTATTTTTAACGTTTCAAATTTTTGACCCATTTTCATGTTAGTTATTTCCAAGTTTCCGATGACTTGCATTGAGGTCACCCCCAAGTGGACTTCCAGAGTCCATAACTTTACCAAATTTAATCCGATTTTAAAGTGGCATACCTCTTACGACTCGTGGATTGATTCTCTAAAAATCTGCATTCAAAATTTTATTTTTAACGTTGATCAAATTTTTGACCCATTTTCATGTTAGTTATTTCCAAGTTTCCGATGACTTGCATTGAGGTCACCCCCAAGTGGACTTCCAGAGTCCATAACTTTACCAAATTTAATCCGATTTCAACGTGGCATACCTCTTACGACTCGTGGATTGATTCTCTAAAAATCTGCATTCAAAATTTTCATTTTAACGTTGATCAAATTTTTGACCCATTTTCATGTTAGTTATTTCCAAGTTTCCGATGACTTGTATTGAGGTCACCCCCAAGTGGACTTCCAGAGTCCATAACTTTACCAAATTTAATCCGATTTTAAAGTGGCATACCTCTTACGACTCGTGAATTGATTCTCTAAAAATCTGCATTCAAAATTTTATTTTTAACGTTGATCAAATTTTTGACCCATTTTCATGTTAGTTATTTCCAAGTTTCCGATGACTTGCATTGAGGTCACCCCCAAGTGGACTTCCAGAGTCCATAACTTTACCAAATTTAATCCGATTTCAAAATTTTTTCGATGACTTGTAAATTGTTATAAATCTTTCTCAAAATCTAAATATCTTTAGAAAATCAGTACAGTGTGGGCGAAGTCATCGTATCGAAACAAAACCGACGGGATCAGTTTATCAGCGCCCTGTACAGCAACTGTTTTGTGGCGGCTGGTCTTTCCGCCTGTCTGATGTCTCCTCTGTCCATGTTGGCCAGCTACCATCGAAATGGTCAACTGCAGCCGGATTTGCCCTTTCCCAGCGTGTAGGAAAAATAAACTAAAACAAACCCACACTAATTCTCCACTTTTTCGGCAGATATCCCTGGGACAACTCTCATTTCCTCACCTACTTGGTATCCTATTTGTGGAATGTGTGTGCTGCTTTGGGCGTGACTCTGCCCACCGTTTGCGTGGATACTCTATTCTGCTCGCTGACCCACAATCTCAGCGCTCTCTTCCAGATTGCCCGCCACAAAATGTTGCACTTCAAAGGCAGAAGTCCTGGAGAGACCCATGAAAACCTGACGCATGTCTTTCAATTATATGATGACTGTTTGGACCTGGGTCAATCGTTAAATGGCTACTTTAGGCCGTTGATTTTCGCCCAGTTTGTGGCGGCCTCCTTGCACCTTTGTGTATTGTGCTATCAGCTATCGGCCAATCTATTGCAGCCTGCACTGCTTTTCTACGCCGCTTTCACAGCAGCCATTCTCGGTCAGGTTTCCATCTACTGTTTCTGCGGATCGAGCGTGAACACTGAGAGTCAGCGATTTGGTCAGGCCATCTACGAAAGCGACTGGATTAATCTTCTGCAGGAGGACGCCCAGCTTGTGAGGTCCTTAAAGATCGCCATGATGCGGGCGAGCAGAGGATGCCCCATTGATGGTTACTTCTTCGAGGCCAATCGGCAGACACTTGTCATGGTATGATTAGATATACAGCACAGAATTTAAGATCTAATATTAAACCTAATAAATTATATTTTAGTAGATTTATTCAAAGCGATAAATAATATCAAGCATATTACATTTAAACGATAAGCTATATTCTAACAGATTTAAATTGAAGGATACATTTTATCTTAGAACTTAAAATGTATAATATATATTTTGATATAAAGTATTAGTTCTGTCCAGACTATTTAAGAATAAGATTTGAATACTAAAGCCAAGTTCCCAGAGAGTCAATGCGATTATAGAAAACCAACTCTTTAGTACTTCGAATATTATTTTAACTTTTCTTTCTTCTAACTAACTTATTTATTTAATTAATTCACTTTTTCTCACCCACAGATTGTGCGCAGTGCCATTTCGTATGTAACGCTGCTCAGATCGCTGGCCTAGCTGCCCAAAGGGCCTTTTCATTATTCAGAGAGATGTTCTGGTTTGTTTAAGTCCGGAAATATTTACAATTATGCTTTAAGCCGGTGTTGTTACAGCCAGTTGGCTAATTAAGCCATGTTAATGGCAATAACTGCTATGGAAAACCAGTGCGGCTCCTGTTAATGCCTTTTGCATTATTGGCCTTGCTTTCAACCCCATCAGGACATTGAACGCACGTATACGTAATATTTGCTCTTGTTCGCTGCCCGTTGCTATAATTTGCTTTTGCAGTTGTTGTTTTGTTTTTGGTTTTTGCTGTTTTTTTTTTTGTTTTTTGTCATCCTCGCACAACATTGCGGTTGTCTGCACGTGCCCGCCCAACGATTATGTATAAAAGTGTGACATGGTCAAAGGATTTGGCCGATTTAACTTTGTTTTGTCCCCGATAGACGGGCGGGGGGGCTTTTCCTCTGCCCTCCCCCCTTACTCGTCGAACATGTGATCCCGTGTGTATGTGGGTGTGCTGCACGTGAGTGCGGTTTGGAAAAAGCCAATTGCAGTGGCCGGGATTTCAGCGCATCCGCAAGCGCCGCTTTAGTCATATACTGCACACAACACGGCGGCTTAAGTTTAGCCGATTTTGTAATTTGTTTGTAGCCACAATGCGTTTGCTAACGGGCTCTACTCTACACATAACAAAATGTTTTTGACAAAAATAATCCTACACTCACAAACTGGAAGGGTTACCAAACTATTAAAAATATGGTAATGAAAGTTGGTGTTGGTATCCCAAAAAATGTCCAAGTTAAAATAAAGAAAGGATGGTGACTTTGTTGACAACTTTATTTAGATTGCAGTTAAATTGAAAAAATCTGAAATTATATTTTTGACTCGTAATTAAATCAGTATTTAAATAAAGAGTACTAACTTTAAGTCAAAAATAAATAAATGGGAACTCTCTAAAAAATACACAATTGAATACCAAAATATTTTCCTGATTTTAAAATTAGGTGAACAATATTCTCACTTCGTAATCAAAATCTAACGAATTGTTATAAATTGTTATATTTAGATTGATAAAAATACCATGTATAACCACTTTTGTTTATTATCAACATATGTTCTATAAGTTCGCTCAAATGCGTTGACATAATTTTTAAATCTTTACCTTGAAATGTTGATGTATAAGATTGTAATAAAGAGAATTTTCTTTATTTTTCTTGTTAAAATAACGCACGAAATAATAATTTTGTTCCTGTGTAATTACAGCAGGGTCAAGCGGGCAACTGTAATGAGTGTATCAGCCATCTGGTTTATGATTCATTTGCTGATTATGCGGCATAGTCTGTGAACTTTCCCTCGATTGACAAAACTGTGTGTAATTGCTGGTGTTGGCCCTTTCCCCTGGGCAACCTCGGGTCGAGTGGGGCCCAAAGTTGGCCAGCCAAACAGGCAGACAAACAAAATCAAAGACAGTCAACACTTTTGGCAGTAGCGAAAGTGGCGAAAAATACACCCCAAGGGCATTGGACTATCACTGGCGATGTGGGTTCGTCCATGTCCTTTCTGCAGTCGGCGATGTCTGTGTTTTTCCTCCTTTCTCTGTTTGATTCTCCGGCTGTGTCCTTTGGCGTGTCGTGTGGCGCTTTGTGGCCCATTGAGGCAAATAGTTTCGGTTTAGTCCAATAATGATGCTATTGCAACAGAGCTTTTCCCGACTTTCTTCCACTCTCATTCCGAATGGGTGTGGGTGTGTGTGTGTGTGTGCTCCAGTGGGTGGGCTTTGGCCCACTTTCATTCAATTGACGCTCTCCAAGTTGAAATGCCATAATAAATTCAATTGTGAGGCCCACGGCGCCTGTCGCTTTGTGTCAGCCCAGATCGGTTACTGCCGCTTTCTCCACTTTTGTCCACGCCCCTTCATCATTTATTATTTGGTTTTCTAACATTGTCATAACATTCCCTTTTATTCCCTTCCCTTGCTTGCTTTTCCTCTTTGCGGATAAAATTCTCCCCTTTTAATTTGGCAATTAATTGAATCAATCGTTCGCACTTCCTTCCGGTCTTTGGGCCATTTTTTAGACCTTTTCTTTTCGGCATTTTGATGCCGCTAATTTATGTGGTCAATTGTTTTTAGTTTTAACGAGCATTCCGGTCATTTTTTACTGCAAAATGGCCATTCGACTCGACCGATTGAACCATAACAGAGCGTTTTCTAAATTTTCTCTTTTTTAGCCGACCTTTTACATTTTCCGCTATTATTTTGCCCAAAATGATTTTTCTCCTTGAAATACTTCCGTTTATTCCCCTCTTTTTCGGCAGTAGCAATTATTTCTGTGAACAAACATGACTTTAAGCCAAGTTCGGGACCTCAAGTTGTACCCTCAATTAGAGCATAAATATCAAATATTGCGTATACGACCCGTACACTCTGCATTCTATTGTGCATATATGCATATGTATATGGAAGGCAAATGAATTCATTTATGTAGATTGCCTGGTAAACGGCCGAAACGAAAATAGTTTGAATAGCTGTCGGCCAGATAGATGAAGCCATCTTGAGGCGCCCAGGGAAGTTTAAAATTTCTGCTGTGTTAAAGTTCTTTGGCAGGATGCAGAACACACAAAGGTGGGCGAAAGACATTTTGTCGAATGCAGTATGAGTTCGGCATTGTACACGAAATTGTTATAAAGAGCTAACCGGATATTTTCGGAATTTTTAATTAATTCGTCTGCACTGACCCCGACTCACCGCACCGCAGCCGACTTACCCCACAACCACCTACATACACACACATACATACACATCCTGAGCTGTTGTCCGGTGCTGTCCTTGCTCCCACTTTTGTTGCTGCAACTTGCAAGTCAGCCGCCCTGCCAGTCACTACACTTAAATCTTTTTTTTCTATTTTATTTAGTCGTTAATCCAAGGAACAATTTTGATTTTGGATAAGGGTTTCTTGAAACTTACATAGGCTTTAATGATTTCAGAGACTTCATTTCTACAAAATGTTGGTTAGTCAACTATTTAACAATAGTTTTTATTAGAAAGCTTTAAGATATGTAATGCCTAATACATTTGTATCATTTATATATATTTAGTTTTAGTAAATCAAAAAAAATATCCAGCACTAAATGCTGCTTTTCGCAGTCGCTTTGGAGGCTTCATTGTAACAATCATTTCTCTGGGACTTAAGATTTGATTTAAAACTATAGGTAATACTTTGTTTTGTTTTTGCTCAGTGTATGTATGTTCCATTTGCTGTTGTTGCCTTTGTCAAAAAACGAGCGAGGCGAGCTGCAACAATTTTCGGCAATTGCTGTTCTGGCTAAAGCAGGACACACTCGTCCTCGTCATCGTCCTCATCCTCGTTCTCCTGCTGCCACTGCTACTGCTACTGCTACTGGTGCTGCTCCTGCTTTGTTGCTGCTCATTCATTGTGCAAAGTTTGTATAAATTTTTGATTTCTTTACACAAAATGCTGTGCATGTCTCTCCGACTGTCTGATGTCCTGCTACTGGCGCTCCGGGGAAGTAGGAGAACGGTATGGCCCCCAGTCAGTCGTGTTCCCATTCTCCGGCTGCTTCTCCTGCTTTTGCTTTTGCTGCTGGCACAACACAAATGCCATTGATTGAGTCACATCGCCTGGGCATATAAATCTCCACCGATGGGGTGTGGCACGCTCGACTGCTGTCAGAAATTCCGGGGCTGCCTACCTTAAAGTTTTCGCCGTGCTGAGTCACCGACACAGTCACAGTCACATTCACATTCCCTGTCGAAGAATCGAAGTCTGCTGTGGCGTTTGGCGTAACTTGGCCGATGATTTCGTTATTGTTCGATTGACAATAAAAAATCAACTGAAAGTTGCAAAAGGCACAAACTGTCATTGAATTTGCGAACACTCACACACACAGAGAGGGTCAGGATGGGCAGAATTTGGTTCCGGAGGAGATCCCAGCTCCACCATAGTTGTAAGCATATAAAAATAAGTCGCTTGGGGCTTCCCATTTCACCGGGCTCCTGCTTCCTGCACCTCTCCACCCAAAAAAGCTTTCCAAATTTGTATGCAAAAATACAATAAGCGAGTGCAGCTTAAATAAAATGCATTTCAATGATTGCATTTTGGATTAAAACAACAATTTCGTCCGGGAACAACAATAACATGGAGAACAGTCGACATTTCTTTGTGCGCAAACATATATCCCCCATATATATATATTTATTAAAACTTTTTCTCTTGCTCTTTAACGCACTGCGAAAATGGCAGCCAAATGGAACTGACAGACATTGCATATCTCTCAGCTTGCTGCTCCGTTTAGGTTTAATGAAGTGCAAACAAAAATATTTTCAATTAGAGCCAAGGCAAACCGAGCAGCAACCGAGAAAACCAACGACCTAAAACAAAACGAGCAATGCGAAAGGTAAAAGTCGAAATGCTGAACAGGTGAGTGGCATGCAAATGCAGCTTGGATCTGAAAACCGAGGTGCACTCACCCTAAGCTCAGAGCTTGCTGTCGGCTTTTGGGTGGTGGTATCCTGGCTTACTGGTATCCTGGTATCCTGGTGTACTCACTACTGACCTGCCCCTTTTTTCGCATCTAACAAAGTGCTGTCGGCCAGATGGATCCCCGATCTTGGCTGCCAAGAGGCAAAAGGGCTTCCAAAATATCGCCTGGATAAGCCGACATACACGTGCTTGATTTATGCCCAAGTCCCGGCTCCTTTTTTGTGTTGGCCTCTCGTCGCCCCAAACAAGGACTAAACATTCAATAAATAAGGCAAAAGCAAATTACGATTCGCTGATGTTTTTACGACAGCGACGTGCCCATTTAAAAGTGTTTTTGATTTGTGTTGCCATTGCCGCTGGCGGCACATTAAATTTATATGCCGAAGATTTCACGCACTCCTAATTTATGTGGCGTGGCCAAAGTCGCTGTTGCAAGTAATATTTCGCCGCCCAGTCAACTTTATTATTATATTCATCCATCCCACCACTTAAGCGATGACATTTTTATATGCG